TATAGAAAATTCCATCATCACTTGGAGCTTTCATATTTTGAAACTTTTTAGTTATAGACCTTACTTCGTCCAAATCAGTCCCCCAGGAATCATCAAAAATATTTTCCGGAGAGAAAATATTCAGATAATCCCGAGCAACCTGATTCTCAATAGGACTAGTAAGACCCAAACAGAAATTATGGGAACTCTCGAATTGCTTAGCAAGTTTCTGAGCTTTTTCCAAATTTGTGATCAAAATTTTACCACCTTCTTTAAGCGCTGGAATAGGCTTTTGAGGTTTTTTTTAAATTTTTGTGAGTTTCCAAAAGGGTTCGGAAATCGGGTCTAATTTAGAAACATTATTTTCAAAAGTTTTGTTCCTCAGGGCAGAGAATCGTTTTTTAATTTGTTTTTGTAAATCCTGCCAGATAACTTTCATGGCAGGATCGCGTGTTCTTTGATATTGTCTCCTACGGACATTTTTAAGACGGATCAAGAGCTGAAGATCATCGTCTATTATAATTGAATCGAATTTAACCTCGCATTTTGGTAATGAGGCAGCTCTTGCTTCAACTATAGAAGTAGTCAGAGATTCAAGAGCATCATTAATTTCATCTTTGGTTTGCAAAGGAATGTTTGGATCGAAGTTATATTCCATAAATGTTAGATATTGCTCCCAATCAGCTCTATGGTAATTGAAAATAGAGCTGTTGGGATTACAAATTATTTCTTGGGATATTTCAAAAGTTTCTGGAAGGTGATCAGAACCGAAGTCAGCATGGGTAACCAATTGGCTACAAAGTTGACATGAATCAGTTAAGACCAAATCAATAGTTGAGGGATTTCTTGCAGAAGAAAAGCATGTTGGACTGTTTGGATATTGAATAGTGTAATAACCTGCAGAACCTATAATGAAGAATTTAGACCTATGACGGGTAAGTTTCTGAAGGTCACCCTTGAGAAAAAAAATTTTTCTGGCCTACGCATTGGAATGGCAAATAGGCAGCTATAAACGTAAGTTGTCCAAATTTTGTTTCAACAGAAACTCCCAAAGTTTCAAAAACTTTGGTTTCAAATGAAGAAAGAATTTTATGTTTGATTCGTCTATGAACAATTATGGCAACGCCACCACAGGGCTCATCAAGACGATCATTTCTATAAATTAAATAATTTGAGTCCTTCTTAACCTTATGGCCAGGTTTGAGGAACGTTTCAGTTATAACGGCAATATGCACGTTATGAACTCTCAAAAAGTTAAATAGCTCGTCTTCATTATCTTTAAGAGATCGAGCATTCCAATTTAAAATATTTAAAGCTTTAAAATCCATTACTGAATTTTAAAGTCATGACAATATTATTAGCAAATTTTACTCCAGTTTGAATAGCATCAAACATAGAGTTAGATTTAAGCATATCAGAAATCATATCAATTAATGAATTCTGAAAAAATTCCATTTTAGGGGCAGTAATGCTTCCTAAGTCAAAATTGTCAAAATTTCCGTTAGAACGTTGGTTAGTATTTTGATTTGTACCCGTTGCAATAGCAGCATAGGTAGCTCCATTAACTCGCTGAACATTGTTAGCAGCGAGGGGAGTAGGTACAGATGACAAATTTGAAGCAGGGGTGATATTTGTACCTACGGGTACGAATGTAGAATTTGTTCCTCGCTGACCGTTGTTAACAACAGAGAAATTTGTACCTGTTCGGAAATGTGGAGCGTTTCCTACCTGTCGATTAGAACGAGATTGTAGGATCGCTTTGCGAGTCTTACATTCCCAAAAATTTGGATTTGTAGTTTTCACCCACTTCACTCGGACATGGAGCATAAGGCTAGCTTTTTCTAAGGCCTTATGGTTGTTTAGTTCACTAGACTTGAAGTGAACTAAATAAAAATCATTAGAAAACCCGTTGCGCGAATCGCCAGGACGGGATTTCATTTTCATTTTGATTACTTGGAGTGGCACAACTCCAAGTAATTTTTCCAGTTCATCTTTGATCTGATCCAGGGATTCACCACTGGGCAGTCCTTTCATGACAACCTTGAACACACGTTCAGTTTTGGTGTCGTAAGTAAAAAATGTGTGCTTCTTTTCAGTAAGATACTTGAGAAGACATTTAAATCCGTCCAAGGTTTCAGCCAATACACGGCATTCACCCCGACGTCCAATTTGTAGTGAAAACTTAACTTTCACGAAATTCAAAAGTTCCATGCGAAGGGCATGGAAATCGGAAGTGGTTATCAATAGGGGGAATCTTTTCCTTCTTGGTATTAAGCCGGGAAAGTTTACTAGAATTTTTCTTGGATGATGGATCATTCTCATCATCCGTGAGCAAATCAAATTGATTACTCAAATTAATTTCATCAGAAGGGGGGTCAAGAGTTTGCCCCTTTCTTTTGCGTTTAGGCGCCATGGCGGTAGTAAATTTTTATCCAAATCGACTTCCAAGCAGATTACTATAAGAATCTGAAGGATCGAAGAGGAAATTTCCAAATCGATATCCAAGAAGGATTACCTCGGGTAGGGTCCTAACAAGGATCCAAGAGGAATAAGAGCTGTATAAGGTAGAAATTTTACAGGTTGAGCACTGAAAAGTGCTGTTTAAATTTGTTGTAGCTTTAGGTAGTAGTAATACTTCCTTAAGCAAAAAGCAAATAGATCCACACGGCAAGAGAGCACGATGCGGACTGACTCTTCCAATCCTTGTTACTTGCCTCCTGTGCTTCCTCATAAAGCTGACCGATTGCAACAAGGAAATGTTTAATCACCGCTGATCCATGTATCAATACTTTATGAATACTAGCTGACAAGAGACCATAGATGCGCAGATTCAATACAATAATTATCAAATAAGGAAGCGTTTATCTTACATCCGGATGCCATTACCTACAGTATTGATGCACAACGATGGAGAGCAGTACGATCGAGACCCGCAATATCGACTACTATCGACTGCGAGCGACATTACCGTCGTTAGATGTACCAGCTCCTCCAGCGCGTGGTTTATCAACATTCATCTACTAAACGTTCACGAACTTTGTCGATGTTATTATTTCGGTCGGTTAAGGCTGTGAACCATTTGCTGAGTTAAATTTAACTCGCGGATAAAAGTGACATTTCGAAAGTTATTTCTTATGTTCGAAAATCCCTGTGTTACCGATCGATCGGTTTTCGAGCAGAAATCAGCCACGGTTGTCAAAATTTAACTTCTTGTCTGTCAGAAATAACCACGCTCGGATAGCAGGGTTAATCGATAACTTTCCATCCGTCAAATTTTAACCAAAAGTTAAAATAATCCACCAAATGGTTCAGAGCCTAAACAGAGTAAAGATATGGTCGGTAAAAAAAGAGTAAAGATATGGATACTTGTTTTGATCACAACTCTCCAGCAGACGGTCGTGGACGAACAAGTTTACCACCATTTGAAAGTTCTTTTAATGTAGTTTTAGAAGCATTTGATCTTATCTGCACCTTCTTGCAGCTAAGAAAGATACGTAAGTCCAACATATGAGAAAAATAGATGAAAATTTATCAATAACTCATCCTTTTAAATGATGCAGGTATAGTATGTTCTAAAAAGTATACCAATCACCTTTATTGACCATTGTGAAGACCTAAAATGAAAGAAAATATGTGTTTTGATGAAAAACGTGTTTTTAGGGGTCCGTCTTCAAACAACGCTCTCTATCTCAATTTGAGTGAAATTTACGACTTTTATGTATTCAGCAAAGTTGTTTGTAATCATTTTTGCTACAACTTTGCTCAAGACGTCAACCATTTATCTCGACATTGTGAAAAAATAAATCTTTCATTTCACTTCTAGGGGGATTAATCACAAAACTCATGCCTTCAAAAGATGAAGCATGTAATACTCATCAACTTTGCTAAAGACGTTATTACTCTAAATCCACTCTCCATGGTGCTATTAAAAGCGTCAAAATGGACTTTTCAACCACTGTGCATGGGCGGGATTTTTTATTTCTTCATGTTTTGGGCTGAAATTTTCACCACACTTTGGAAAACTCTTCTACTTGATGTGTTACCAATGATTTAGACAAATAGTTTTTGAGATAGGGGAAATGGATGTAAGGTCGGCCTAAATGCCCCTAATTTGGGCCCATACATAACTTCAGCAATCGACTAAATTTTCAATAGCGACCAAAAATATCCAATAAAACTGTCCAAATGACACGTTCATCTAGATAAAATTGATAAATAACAGATTTTTAGTGAAGGGCCCAATCTTTGATCCATAGGCTAACATTAGAGCCATTTGCCATATGACCAGATGAGTGAGTTGGAGTTTTAAGCTTTTCTGGTTGAAAATTAATGCTATTTAATATTTTATTTTTTTCTTGAATTCCACAATCATATGTTTATGCTATTTTTCACATGTTCTGGGCAGGATTCTTATTAAATCGTATGATGGCCTCTTACAATCAATACTGCGAAACGATTGACTTTACAATGACTCGGCATAAACTAAAACAATATTTTAACTCCATACGGAATCATAACTCGTAAGACACAATTGTACGGTTTTTCTTTTTTTTTTAAAGATTTTTTTTTATATTTAAGAAAACAAAGCTGTATATTTTCCAATCAAAGTTTCTTTCAGTTCTACACAGATTAAAACGTCTAAAATATTTAACATTTCTATCTTTATTTATTTGTAAACTGCTTACTATGATACTAATGTTCTGTAACCCCGGAAACAGATTTCCCTGGTGGTTGGCAAATATGCTGCTCATAGTTTCATTCTCTACAGAGGTGCCGTAGACTACAAAACGGTCCCCCTTGACAGACGTGCCGAGATAAACTCCGCTGATAGTCGCCAACAAACAGACGCAAAATTACATTTCTGCTATCGTGGCAGGAAATATCTGCACGTCTTCATCGCAACATTTCATTAGCATTCGAGATTTATTATTTACATGGCAAGTAAGCATTCCGTTCTCATCCTTTCGCCGGGTGCTTTGTTTCTTTCGAGGAAAGGAAAAGAAAAATGCTATTTTTCTCTCTTATTAACTTCGGTTCTATCGGGTAAACAAGAATCTCGTTTTTAGCTGTGTGTGGTTTTGTATGAGTGTACGTAATACTTAAAGTCCTATTTCGTTGTGAATGAACCCAGGATAGTCTTTGCCATGAAACGACTGTGAGGTCAATAATCAATGGTAGAAGACATGTACTTAAACAAGTCACTTTCTAAACAGAACATAGTTGGCACTGAAGAATCCTCATAGAATCAACGTTTCTATAAAGTATGGTTTACTTATGCAAATAATCAGTTTGTAAAGAGGCTGTTCTCCTTATCGGCTAAGTCTTACAGATACTTATCAGTCCTAGGGTGTAGTACTTATTACCGTTTGTATTAAATACATGATATTACGTTGATAAAATGGTAAATATAATGTTGTATAAAAGGTTCTGTTCTCTGAAATGCCTTACCGTCTAGGATAAAAATGCTATCGATGAAAGATTAACGACTATCGATGTTTAAATAACCTGTGGTTGAAGTAGCGTTTTGTGAATTGGAAGACTTGAGGATATAGTTTAGATTAGCGTATGAGGCTGATCGATAGTACAAACGTGTGGCAACGTGTGTTTTGATGTGGATTGTCCAGATTAGATATTGACAGCAGCACCTGTAGGTGGTGGCGGTGAAGTCGTAGTCTTGACCAGTTCCATATACTGGAAGGGAACGTGCAAACTAATGCCGTTGTGTTCGACGATCAGATGGCCTCGCCGATGCGAAGCTCCGGTAACCGTGACAGCTTCTCCTTTACGCAGCTGTTCACCAACGGATGAAGTGGCCGAATCCTCGGGAAAGTTCATTTTCATGATTCGCGTTTGCGGGTAACCGAGTTTGGAGTTTCCTGTGACGGTGTATGACCGCGACGGTGGCACCGGTGGAGGACGTTCCTGTTAAGGGTGAGAAAATGATGTTAGTGAGATGTGAAGTTAAATTTCTCTAATTCAACTTACCAGATCAAGTCCGAACAGAGTACAGGTTTGGGCAATTATCTTGGAGTCACATTTCTCATTCGGGTCAGGTGGCGGTGTTCCAGCAATCGGCTGTGGCCTAGGTCTCGTTGCAGTTCCTGTATTATTGGCTTTGGCAGTCGGTCCTGTGTTACTTGGTCTTGAAGCTGAAATACACCAAATTAAAATCTTTATGTAATCCATTCAGCAACTGATATTATTCCGAACTTACCCGTACTCTTGTTCAACGTTAGCAGCCCATTTCCAACTAGTTTGATTTCATGAGACCTTCTGATGGTGCCCAACCGTTTCCTCAGATTCCATCCACGCCATGTTGACTGTATGACCGTGGCACTTTTCATTCGAACTTCAGTCCTTAGGTGTTCCAAATGTTGCCGAATACCTTCACTCAGGAAGACATGCCTTTTACCCGGTGCCCACGACAACGTTACCGATCCATCCAACTCAGGTGGGTTCTCGAGTGCAAAATCCAAAATCAATTTACAGTCTTCTAAAGCTTTCTCCTCGCAGCGTCTGAGCAGTCGGAACGGTGCCAACATTCGATATCGAGCGGTAAACTGCTTGAAGCGCATACGATGTGGAAAACCACTGGCCATCAAATTCACGGTTTCTAGCACCTGAAGGGCGCGAATTTGTCGCACCACGGTGCTACGGTCGAATACACCAGCCTTCTCTACAGTGTTACTGCGAATACACCGTACAAAATGCGGTCGTGCATGCACCAATGTCCTTAGCAAATTATCCAATCTGGTATGGAAGTCCTGTGTCAGAGTCGAAACCGGTTCATCTCCATTTAGCAAGTCGGTATGTGAAGTGGGTGCAATTCTGAAACTCAAACCACGAGGTACATTCTCCTGTGCATAGAGTGCTTTCAGTTCCGTTCCAAATAGATGCGTTGCAAACCCAAAGTTACACGTATGTTTGTAGAAGACTGACACCAAATCGTCCGGCACAACATCACGGTTCGTGTCCAGAAAGTTCGTCGTATCATACTCAACGCGTCCAGCAAAGTGTCTTATGGCAAACATCCTCGGATCGTACGGCTCCGAAGGCCGTTGTTCCAAGCGTGCAGAGTTCCTGTGCTGTACTTTGATCTTTGCCACATAGCTCTCTGCCGTTCCGCGAACCGAACATTCAGCATCCAGCATGCTCAGCAAGCCAGTCCGAAGCGAGGAAATCAAATCGATGCACGGCACGTTGTCCACATAATCCACTTCCGCATCGCAGATGATTCCCTCCTCCCGGCACGATTCGACCGAACTTTTGAAGATGTGAGTATTGTAAAAATGTTGCATTGTTTCAGCGCATAGATTGATGCAGAGATGCTCCAGCTGAGCCGGGCGAGGTTCTTCGAATCCAAACATGTCCAGAATGCCTGATGGAAGAGAAGTTAAAAGTATGATAAGAAGAGAATGATTTCACACCTAGGGGAGCCCTACCCGAGCATAGTCGGATACTTAAATATTATCAACATAAATTGAATGTTCTTAAATATAATTGCAATAATTCGCTGGTTGGAACGCAACCTCATCCATCTACCGAATTCCATTGAGCCCGCTTAGAAGTTGTCAAAATATAGCTTTTTATATGTTGATAATTTCCAATGATGATCAATGAAATGTCAAGGCCAGTTTGATAGGGGGAATGGATGTAATGTCGGCCTAAATGCCCCTAATTTGGGCCCATACATAAATTCAGCAATCGACTAAATTTTCAATAGCAACCAAAATTTTCCATAAGTACCGTCCCAATGACGCTCGTCTAGATAAAATTGATAAATAGCAGATTTTTAGTGATCGTCTTAATCTTAGATCCATAGGCCAACGTTAGAGCCCTACATAATAACATTACTGGTTACTCGTTTTGATTAGTTTTCAGTGATGTCAAGATTTGTCATTATTTTGATAATACTCATACATTTTTAAGATCTAATTTTAGTTCTGATAGTCGTTAATTCGACCCCAGGATTGTCAAGTCATATAACAATTATAACAAAATATGTTTTACTTTATTTTCGTTCTCTGCTCGGGTAACTAATGCTATGTTTTACAGATAGGGGGCATTCTCAGCAGCGTTACCCGGCTGATAAAGCAGATTTGGAGAGTTTTGTAACATAAACTGGTTTATGTCTTGGATTTGTACACGACCTTTGTTCACTAATCGAATGCACGGTCGTTCATTCTACCTCAATGACTGAGTAAAATTGTACTGTTCTGTGTAACTCCAGTTTTTAAGATAATTGTATTGTCGATCAAGTTGGACACCGGAACCCCACCTGACATGAGATTTCATTCTCGTTATGTACGTTAAACATAACGTCGGACATACATATTGCGCATTATAGCGGGTCATTGTGCGAATTTACTGCACTATATCCGACACTTGCTTGAGGTGTTTCGCTGTGAGATCCTTGTTTTCGTATCCACTTCGAAACTTTAAGTGCACAAATATCAGCTTCATCGATACGTACCACAAAGAAACTGTTACTTCACGTTTGCGGTACTGCAGCATACATGAAGTAGCAGTTTCAGGTGAAATGGGGTATTAATTTCCGAGATATGTGTAATAGAAAGTTCGAAGTGGAAATGCATGTATAGCCTACGTGGTGGACTCTACAAGGAATCACCTTAACGTACAGAACAAGAGTAAAATCGATTGTCGCGTATGGGTTTTCCAGTTGTCAACTGTACCGATAAGATTTGAGTAATATTTCAGTGAGAGAAAAAGTTAGATTAACCGTCGTTCTTGGTGTGTTTGCTATTGCTTTTGCTACTGTGATACCTGACTTATAAGGAGAGTTCCTCGAATACAACGTATAGTTCGTCTAATTTCACATTGCAAATGCTATGTAAATTTAGACGAGTCTTAAGTTTTATTCGGGGTACTTGTGTACAACAAATATTCGTTATAAGTCAGGTAACACAGCCCAAGTAACAATTCTGCAACCAATTGGCATACACTCTGATTTATGATGGTTTTATAATGGCAATGAATAATCCATTTAGTTTAAATACAGCATTTCACAGTGTAAAACGTTCCTGCTTAGTAGTTCACCTTTTCCCTGTTTTAAAAACCTTTTTCAGTCTGGTGAGAAGTCAAAAACTGTCTTGTTTTAAAATTAAATTTAAAGTAGTTCTCAATCCCACTATAAAACTGTTCTATAAATCCATCAAAAACTTCATTAGCAATTTTTTATTATTGTCTTGATAAAATACTCTATTAACTTGTTCTATCATTTTAAAAACAATCAAAAACCATTAGGTTTTAAATTAGAGCAAAAGGCATATATTTTTGCCTTTTAGGCTTTTAAAAGTGTATCAAAAAATCTCCTCTGTTTATAAATTGAACGTTAAGGATGGATCCTCATAGTGTATAAAAACCAAATTTATGTCAAGGATATCTCGAAGGATAAGCGAAATTGAAGGAAAAATTCAAGCGATGCTAACGACCGAAGGGAAGTCGATTTCAGTAAAATTTAGTTCTTTGGAAGAAACAGCACGTCCGACGGAACGGGTACCATCAACGACTGAGCATCTGGTGCAGAAGAGTGAAGTGAGCGTGGTCCTCAAATCCATAAAACATTGTCAAAACAGTCTGAAAACAGACCAGTCTTCTCCAGACCTTGCGAATACATGAAGGTCGGAATAACTTGCATCAGCACCGACAGCAAACCACTGAAACTGTCAGTAAGCGGACACTAGTTGGTTTCCGATCCATAGCGGCGATTTTATTCGGCGAAAGGGTCATCACTTGGAAAAAATTCATTCAACCGTACATTTCTGCATCGTTGGATGGTGCACTTCCAGAACCATCCGGAAGAAGGGGATCTTTTCGGGAATGATCGAGGTTACAGCTGTGCAAAATGTTGTGAACACTTTCTGAGTAACTGCTTCCAAGCCATCGGGAGAGAATCGCTTGGAAGAACGCTGAATCGCACAGCGCAACTATCGAAAGATAAACAAACTTTGGCGTTTAACATTTTGTAGGCAACATTGCCGCCATAAATGCTGCCATAAATCTGAACGGATTGAGATAAAACAAAATGGCTTTAGCTAATACAATACAGTCTACAAGTTTTGTTCATAAAAGCCAATTCAAAACCTAATGAATTCGTTAAGGATTTCTTGAAAGCAAAATAACTTTGACACAAATGGTCCATGAAAATCAATTTTTATGCCTCCGCCATATTTCAATTATTTTGTTTGTTTTTTTATAATCCTCGCTTTTCAATCTTTATTTCCTTGGATATAACTTTATTTTAGTTAAATGATAAATATTTAGAATGCAAAAATCATGAGAAACAAAAATCTCGGCTAAGCTTAATGTAAAATAATTAGTAAAATCGATGTTTTCCGTGTGCGGACTCAAGTTTTTATTTCAATTATTTTGATAAGATTTGATGGTATTTATAAATCCTTTTTGACGTAGGACTACGTCTTTGATTTCTATATGGGGGTACACTTTGTGAAAACCGAAAATGGAAAATGTAACAAATTAAGAAAGATTTTGAACGTTAATAACTCAGCTTCCCCTGGTCCAATTTCAATAATTTTATAACCAATCGATCAGAAATATGGCTACGCATTGATAACAATGCTTCCGAATGTTGATTTTCAACAAGAAACTATTAAAAAACTGGTAAATGTTCAGCATTGTCCAAAAGCGTCGGATTAACAAACAAATCCACCAATTACCTACATGCATATGCTGCTTCCCCAGCACAGTCGTCAGAGAGTAGTAAGTAGACAAAACAAGTCAAAGTGGCATTCGCCTCCGATCCTCGGGCGCGTGCGAACAGGGAGGATGGAATTGCGTAATATTTTGCACACTCATCGCCATGTTCAGAACCAAACGCAAATTCTTCGAGATAACCACCATCCGTCGTCTGGCTCGCCGTGGCGGTGTCTGACGTATCTCCGGTCTGATTTACGAGGTGTGCTGAAGGTGTTCCTGAAAAATGAGATCTGTGATGCTGTCACCTACACTAAACACGCCAAACGTAAGCGGCCATGGATGTCATCTACGTTTTTGAAGTGACAGAGACGCACTCTGTTTGGTTTCAGAGGTTAAATCATCACCAACATTGGAAACAAAACGGCTCTTTTCATGGCCACTAAGCTTATTACAGTAAAGAGTAGGAATAGAATTCATCTGCCTGTTTGTCCATATTCAGAACCACCGACCACACAAAATGCTCATGTGATCAAACTGGAAGCAGGGATACAAATTGTTTTGATCAACCTTGATCAACTTTGAATCGCCACGGCCGGATATTTTCGATGGAAGAAGCAACAATCTAGCATCTAATTCGACGAAGACGGCAGGAAACATTTCTGGATCAACAATAGAATAGGGCCCATCAGCATTTGTAAACAAACCGTTCCAAAGCCTCACAAATCGAAGGCCGCTCACACAAACCAACACCAACATCTTGTAGGTAGAAGTTTCCCCTATCCGATGATGGTGTTGGTTTGTGTGGGTGGCCTTCGCTTTGTGAGTAAAGGGCTTTGGAACGGTTTGTTTACAAATGCTGATGGGCTCTTTTCTATTGTTGATCCAGATTTGTGAAGCCGAGTTATTTACGAAAGAGAGTGTCGATGAAGAGAATCGATCAATGTAGATAGGACCTATTGAAAAGTGACGCGAGATTTGTTTTCCGTAGTTGGAGGCGAACCAGCCCCAGGCTGAAAGCCTCCATAATAAAGATAAATTAATTAATTAATTGTTTTCCGTACTGAGCTCCAATGCTACCGACGGCAGGGAGGCAGCTCCCAGAGATGTTATGCCTTAGAACATGCCAATGGCGCCGACTGAGATTGGACCCAGGCCTGCTGGGGTGAGAGGTAATCACGCTAACCACCGGCGCCGATATCTATCACGGCAAATGAGAACGACCCAAATTTGAGTTTAGTTATCTCAGAAATAAGTGCAGGAACTCAGCGATGAGTGAATATTCCTCATGTTTTCCCAGGTTTTTCCAGGATTTTCCAAGGAAATATTCCCGAATTTGAAGTCAAGATTGGATTCACTCAGTCTATTGGTACTACTCCGAGACTGAATAAAATTTTCGTCAATTTCCTCATTTTCTGGCAGATTTTTTTAGGTTTTCCACAGGAAATCATGACAAATTTACTCATCGCTGAGTTCCTACACTTTTGGCGATTATGAGTTAACTAAACTCAAATTTGGGGCGTTCTCATTCGCCATGTACGCAAAAAGAAAATAACCAGTGTCGCTACTTGATAGCAAACTACTCATAATGGGAGGAGTCTTTGTAGCTTTTATACCACTTGGTTGCACATCATTCTGCTTTAACCTAAAAAGATATAAAGCAGCGCTGCTATTAGCTCATTTTCGCTTCGGACGGCGTGGACAGCAATAGTAGCAGTAGGTCGTGGCAAAAGAGGTGCCAACCGTCATCGCAAATTCTTCGAGATAACCACCATCCGTCGTCTGGCTCGCCGTGGCAGTGTCTGACGTATCTCCCGCTGATCTACGAGGTGTGGTGAAGGTGTTCGTGGAAAATGAGGTCCGTGATGTTGTCACCTACATTAAACACGCCAAGCGTAAGTGGCCATGGATGTCCTCTTCAATAAAACGGCCCTTTTCAGGGCCATCAAGCTTACATCAGTTAAGAGTTGGAATAGAATTTATCTATGCTTAATTGTCCATATTCAGAACCACAAGCCCCCAACGACCTCACAAACTCGGAAGCAGGGGTGCAAGTGATTTTGATTGATTCTCGTAATCAACTTTCTGTTTTGAAAAAGATTACTACAAATTTGGATCGCATACAATTCAAAACCGGAAAGAGTTGAGATAATAGATATTATTGATCAATTAAAAGAACTTAATGCTCTTCACATTTATTCCGTCGACTAGCGGTCCTACGTCAAGCTTCCGTTCGTGCCCCTAGGCACAGACCCTTCTACTTTTTATCTTGATTGTTGTTTTTCTAGTGGCTAGGGTAAATGGCTCGGATAATGCTTTTAATTGTTGCCAAATAGCTTTTATTGTAGCTTAAATACGGTTTTGAAATGGATTTCAATGCGTTTATCGTACAACCATTTTGCAGTAAATCAATCTTGAATAGCTTCGAAAATACACCTTTCAGAACCTTCTCCAGGGTGGGCCAACTAGACAGATTCTAGCATCAATGAGGTTTTGGTGGATGCATTAATGGCAAAGCAGTCTTAACCAGGGTTTTATGAATGTTGTTTATATAGTAGCTTTGTAGTATTTCATAAAACTTAAAATGTTACTTGGGAATTATTCTTTTGAACATATTTCAGGCAAATTTTATAAAAATTAGTATATCTCAATCGTTTGAAGATGTACAGCTTTCCGTCTACAGCAACTTTTCATAAAATGTTACGTTCTACAACTTTGCCGAAGACAGCAAACCTCTAAACGAAAAAGTTTGTATCGCTGCGTCATCTTTGCAGTCAAAATATGAACTATTTTCATCCTCCAAATTGTAGTACTAACTAATTCAACTCAATTGGATGCAATCTCAGAGCGTTATACATTTTTTCCTGCTAGATTTCATTCCTGACTCACTGTGTACTGTATAGGAAACATATTGAAAAATTGATTTACTTAACTGTAGAAATTCAAAGAGAAAATCGGTGAAGAAAATGTATCATCCCAGTTAGGACCTTATGTTTCTGAGCGTATTGTAATCATCAATATGGCGAAAATACGGCAATACTACGTGAGAGGAGTTTCACGGGTTTTTCATCGACTAAAGGAAGAAGAACGGATCTATTCCAATACTAAAGGGCCACCCACATTAGATCCGTTTGCGTTGCGTTGACGTAAATATGACAGTTAGACAATAGATTTAGCTGTCACTTTGGCGCAACACGTCCGATCCGGATCTAATGTGCGTGGGCCTTAATCGAGAATTATGCCAGTGTTACAAATAATTGTAAATCAGATTCAGCATAGGGGATCTCATATCCATAAATAGATTTTGGACAAAATAAGAAATCTGAGCACATCAACGTTAAATTTGTTATTTTCATAAATATTTAATCAATGTCAATATTTAATGATGTTTCACAAAATAAATTGAAGTATGTGTACAACTTCTACTCAATGGACGAAGTAGTCTAAATTCCCCCACAAAATGATGTAAAACGCTGGTAACCGTCAACAATGCTGATGATGTACACACACACACACACACACTTAATTACGGCTTCCCTGTTCGGCAATTTGTTTTACAGTTTTCGAACTGTAAATCACAAAATATACCGAACATTCAGCTTCTTTCAATAAACCCAACAAACAATTTGAGTTGATCAACAGCTGAATTAGCTATTTTTTAGCTGAAGAAGCTTGTTTTTGCCTGAATTAGCTCTTATTCTTAATGTTTGTTTGGAAACTACTCCTGTTCAGTAGCTTTTGCGACAAACTACTGAATACTGTAAAATTGCAGCTTTACGGCGAATGACTAAAACTCAGTAAAATAGAGTACCGAGTTTACAGTATCCATTATGGTTTACTGGACAATCATCGAACGAAATTCCATAATTGTTGATCTCACCGTAAGTCAACTTGCTTGCATCATTCTCCTCCGTTTTACATCGCGCACTTACATCGAACTTGTTTGGAAATCTGTGTGATAATACAAAATCTTTGTGAAAATAAATGAAACATCTGGAAGCCAACGCAAGAGTGTAGAAACTGACCCGGAATCAAATCGATCAATCATTTGTCACGGTCAAATTATGACATTATGTTAAATTCATTGTGACTTATGTTAAATTCATAAATAATTGAAATAAATTAAACAAGATTATTTTCCTAGTATATTTTTAAAATTCCCGACTTTTTTTCCTGTTTTTTTTCTGGTGAAAATAAATTATTGACTTTTCCTCGGTTCTCCAGGTTATCCTGGGTGACTCCCCTTCCTGAATAAAACACACTATTAAAAAATTTCACTCAAAAAATTCCACACGTCATTATCATGTGTCTCACACTTAATTTTGCGCTTATTGTGAAACACATCCATTTCATGTGTGAATCTTATGCTATAAACCATGCCTGAACACTATGGATTTGAATTGTGACACACTTGGATTCTATGTGCCTCATATGGTGATATCAATAGCTTTGCACTTCATAGTTCAATATTCTACAATATTCTACTTTATCGACTTCTACTTTACCGACTATAAAAATGAATCGACAAATATATAAACAAAACTGCCAGAGGCCAGAGCTTACACATATCTTTTTAATGCGTCTGATTTGGGATTTGATCATGAACTGTTGGGGTGTGCTGCTGCCAGAGTCTTCGTTCGATCCGAGGTTCGATCTCACTGTGCCACGGTTGGTCTCATATATGAGGCGGGTTGATAGGATAAAGTCACAACTCTTGTTTTCGATGTTTACCTTTCTGAGCAAACAATTCACATCGTATTGAAATGCAAAACACTTTAAATCCATCTGTTTTGAACAGTAGCGTGATTCAATGTGCAATACACTTGAATAGATAGTGAAAGATTTTCAACATTTCAAAGTTTGAAACACTATAAATTAACGTGTATAACACATTGAACCAAGGTGAAATACACTTAAAGTAAATGTGATTCTGCATTTAAAAAATCAAGTGTTTAAACACTTCGATCAAACGTGTGAAATTTTTTGAGTGTTTGTGTCGAGCTTTTCAAAATTATTACATAATGTAAGTGAAAGTACTGCTTATTTTCCGGTGATTTTGCGTGACTGCTCTTAGGTTAACAAGCATATCGAGCACTTGGAATCATTAGGGCATTATTACTTTCGTCGGTCAACAAATCGATCAACTTCTATAACTTATTACAGCTACTCATCGTGAGTGCTCAGCCATCATAAAATCGTTGAAAGTAACTTTGTAAGTCAACAAAATTAAAAAAAAATGTTTTCTTTGAGATATCACTTCAGATTGGAAATAGCTCTCGATAGATTTTTGCAATCTGAAATGCTGTCTCAGAGAAAACCATTTTGGAAATTTTATCTACTCACTAGGTCACTTTCACCGTAAGACTTTATAATTATACTCAATATTGAGTTAATCTCAGCGGCCGTGTATTTTTGTGTGGTTTGAAACTTAGCTAAGCGTGTGTTACATGCTATAATTTGTCGATTGACGATTGCAGTCGGTAAAGAGGTAAACAAATAAATTTTATTTTTAGAAGGACTATGGGCCATTCAAATATTACGTAACGCAAGAGGGGGTGGGGGTAGTTTGGAAATGTGTTAACCACCATGTATTAGGTATAGGAAAAGTGCGTGGCCCCCTTGTGTGGGGTATTCAAAAATGTACTTTTTTGCGTTACATAATATTTGAGCGGGCCCTAAAGATTTTCATCGTGTATTATTGGGGCAGTATTGAAATTGAATTTGAATTAATAGATCATTAATCTCGATGAAAATTTCAAATGGCCCTATCTGCTTTGATCAATTCTCTTCATCGACTTTCTTTTTTGATAACCATTGCAATGTGAACAGATTTCGTGCTAATTTTACCACATTGTTTGATAAAGGTGGTTCTTATCTAGCGTCTAGAACGTCAAATACAACAGAGGTAGGTTTTGCAGCTGAGTAATTAATGAAAGAGAATCGATCAATGCAGATAAGACATTTTGAAATGTTTATCTAGAAATGGCATGACTTCAATCAACTCTAAGTTGATCTTCGATAGTTAAAATCTTTTGTTCAATAAGATTCGTAAACCGCAACTTTCGTTCTTGCTGTAAAAAGGTAGCTTTTTCAACATGTCTGGCGTCAATAACAGTTATTCAATTGTTTATAAAGTTGCTACTTAAACATTTTGCACACCACGTACTTTGAGAAAAATTATGTAATTTAACATGGGGAGCGATCTTCGTGTACGCAAAAATTGGCGGCACTTCCCTAATAAAAAATAACCATAAACGAACGATAACCCAAATCATCGAACTATTCCACAAATGGTTTGGATGATACCCAGAACACGTCGTTAAGCAAAATAACCGTACAATTTTATTAGGGTTTCCAGCATTATTTATACATACCGATAAATCCATCAGTTGCGTGGCGCACTGCATTGTTCAGGGCAGCCATCGATTTGGAACCCGCATTGCCACCAATAGTGGACGCATGTTGACTTGCAACTTCCGCTTGATTATGCACCGATTCGTTACTATCGGAACTGAGCGTTCCCAGAGTTGAACCCAAGCTAAAATGATAACCATTTTGATTAGATGAACGTGCTCTCATAGATAACGCAAGGGACAAGTCATGCGAGGGGTTACACACCGTTTCAGACTGTTTGCTCTCCGCACGATCGTCGCCACCGTTCGGCAGTAGAGTGCCTTCGCGAGAGAATCTCTCGTCATATTGGACATGTTTGCATCGCACACCGATTTTATCAGCTGACCACGTGCATTGTGCGTTCGAATGGTAAGCCCGCGAAATAGCTGCGCCGGAGGAACCCCAAGCAAATTGGCAACTGCATTGAGTTCCGTTTCACCACTCACTTCCACTTCGAGGCCCTATAACGATACGGGTAAATGGGAGGATGTAGATGTATTTCACACATAAACATATGATACAATAATTTATTGTCTTATCATTCAATTTTGCGAATGACATAAGAAAAAGATCAGAAAAATTTGCTCAGACGTAAAGAAGTTAACTATCATTGATAATCAGACGTAAATTACCCATATGTTGTGTCATCATAGCAAATTTTCGAAAAACCGAGAGGTGGATTTGAACCAGTGACCTTCCGATCATAAGATCCGAATCGGTCCTCAGAACCAACGATACAATAGTTATATGAAGCTTACCTGCCCATCCACAAACTGCACGTTGCCTAGTAGTAAGACCGCCGCCAAGACCCGTACCACGTCGAGAAAAGGAATACCGAGAATACCCAAACATGCTTTCCATGCCTGAAACCGTGCAGCATCTTCCTGTTCGTCCTGTCGGATATCGCCATTCTGTAGGTACCTCAGGTTGGCCGGTGAATAACCTTCGAGATTCAGTCGAGCACACTCTTCTGCATTCAGTCCAGCTAGCATTTGGTAGAAGATGTGATAGTTTTTCTCGTTCGGCAGTGGCCTTATGACACGGGTTTGATCCAGAAAGTAGCAGTGTATCTTGGTCCGATAGAGTGCTCCGTCTGTTACTTGTACTTCGATAAATTGACCCTACGGTGGAATTGGCCATGAATCTGTTTGCTTAGGAGGGAAATCATTTCACAATAACTTACAATCCGACTCGATTCAGAGTTGGTCGAGGTTTTGGCCGATCCGAGTGATCGCAGTACGGTGAAAGCGGCAGCTAGGTGTTTGAATGCATCGGTTTCGGGACCTCCTCCGGCTACTGCGAATAGCTGCCGGAGGAGCAACATCGAGCAGTGCGTTTTGCCAGAACCGGAGGTGCCTTTGTGATGGAAATATGGTTACAATTAATACGCACAGTTCCATGAAGATTTAGGTCTGCTACATACCTGATAAGATAATTGCTTGAGGGTAGCCTGTTTCCGCTTGCTGGCGGACGGCTTCTTGTACTATTTTGCGTAGTTGAGGTGCTAAGGGAACGGAACGCGTCGACGACAGAGTTAGCGGATTGCCGACATCGTGGTATGGGTTAACGGAGAGCAGGATAGGGCCGACGTTTGTCTGAAATAGTAAAGGGAAAAATCAGTTTCTAAAATGGCTGAGGTTTTTTGTTTTGATAATTTATTTGTTAATTTATTGCACTGACAATTATTGCCGTTTCAGTAGGATACAGACTCAAATGATTAAATCAATTCCAAATATCTTTACGATTTTTTTAAGGTTATGGGCAACGATGCCACGTATCCTGATTTGTGTACACGACCACCTGGTTAATTTTGATACAGTAAGGTTCTGGAACTAGTTCGTTAGTTAAACAAATAGTCAATTTTTGGAACTATTTTTTGAAGTAACAAACTTGTTACAGCACCTTACCTGAGCAAAGTCTGAGATCAAATTGAAATCTTAATTTGATGTTGTGATTTCGCTGATAATTATTACTCAGGTTGTTGTCGTTTTGGTCATTTTAACGGTTAAAATATCAAAATTGAGAGCAAACATATCTTCCTGTGACATCACATTGAAAACTATTTCTGCTATCAGTGAGAGCAAACTGAAAACCAAATTTGCTATCCATTTTTCCTGTTGATAACAAAACAAGTATTGAATTTGATATTATGCTAAGGCAATGAAAACAAAACCGTAACAACATATTTTTAAAGAGCAAATGTACAGTAAAATGAAAACAAAATTTGGTATCAAATTTTTCAATGTGTAAACTGAAATCAAATTATGATTTCAGTTTGATGTTGATATCAAAACTTGATTTCAATTTGCTGTCATTTTGATGCTGGACTTTGCTCGGGTACTGTGTCAAACTAAACAAGGGGGTCCTAACTAAAATTCGTGTACAAAAAGGAGAATACATGGCATCGCTGCTTATGAGCCAATCAGCCGACGTTTTTGCTGTGTGTTCTTAGTTTTTCCCTAGTCCCTAGTAAAGCATTTTTTTTTCATTTTGAAAAAAATCCTAAAATTATAATATTCTTTATAATTACGTACTTATCTGCAAACCGGTTACTAACAGCAGATACACAACAACTATTTGTTTTTTTTTCAATATATAAATGATAAGAAAATAAACTCTTAACATTAAAATGTTTAATTCATTATTAAGCTCAGCAATCATTTCCACTCACAAATTGATGCAATTTTATTGACACTAATTCAATCTTCATACAAACACCGACAGCATGATAAACCATGCCGGAAATAATCAGGTTAGATTACGCTTAGTCATTTTTATAGTTTATTTTACTAATTGGATACTGGGTTATTATGCCATTAAGCTGAAGGTAATTAGTCCAAATCAAGAGCCACATGTGAAAAGGGCATACAAGCTTTTTGTAAACAAACCTTTGTAGGCTATTTTCTCGCCAACCGAGGGTCGCCAACGCAAACCAGCAATTTCATCAGGAAGGGGAAACTTTCTCCTACCCGGTGATGTTAAAGGTTTGAGTTGGTGTCATATGGTTGGCGAGGAAAGGGGATAAGAAGGTTTGTTTACAATAAGCTTGTATGCCCTTTTTACATGTTGTTCTTGAAATTCAAAGGTCATTAGGCCAACCGATCGAATAGTCACTAAAATGGTGGTTTCAACCATAGTAAACTAACAGTTAAACAGATTGATGCAGGAAAAAATTGATCTGATTTTAACCGTTATGTGATCGACGAAAAAAAAAACACCTTAAAGTGCTCGACAAGGGTACCCGGGTACCCACAAATTGAAATACTTGCTACTGTGGCCTATTGTGACCGATTCTGAATCTTTTGGCACCAATGGATTCAGAAACTTATCTTCTTTCTGGACATTGCCAACAATGTCTATCCGGAATAGTCTGGTTCCCGATAATCCGGATTTTCTGTATAATGTTCCAGAACTAAGCATTTTATTGGCACTTTCGCTAGAATTTTGAAGGAATCGATATCAAAGTATCAGAATTTCCTTCAAAAACAATTTCAGCTTACTTGAGGACCAGTTTAAGGTTTCTCCCGGAACGGCCATTCCAGCGCAGGTTCCTGTAGGGCCTCTAGTGATGATAGAAGTGTTTGGGAAGAAACCCCTGCAATATGGGTATCAAAATTCATGAATTTACAGCAGGAGATTATTTATCATAATTTTGTGATCATCCGATGGATTGTCCCCACAACGGCCATTCCGGAGCAGGTTCCCGTTGGGCCTCTAGTGGCCATAGAAGTTGTTTGAAAGGATGTTCCTACAATATGGGTATCAAAATTCATTGTCTCCGGAATGGGCTTGGATAGAATCGAAGACAACAAATCAAGAAGACTGGCAACTTTGCCAGAATCCAAGCGACAGATACAGTAGCGCTGCGTTTGAGTAAAGGTGGAAGCAACGCATAGAAAAATGAGCAAATACACAAGCCCTTCGTCTGAGGATGTAATCTTTGCTATCAAATTCGTTCGAAGCATTTACCTTTGAACGGCAGATGACGCGATTGTACCTGTCTCATAGCGTTCGTATGAGAAAATGGAAGAGTTGCCAGTCTTCTTGATTTGTTGTCTTCGATAGAATGCTCTTTATTTTGACGTAGAACTACGTCTTTGTCGACTTTACTGGGGTGCAAGTCAAAAAATATGTGTGGTGAAGGAGTGTTAGGTTTTGAACGCTTGTAACTTTGTCATTTATAGATGAAATTAAAATCCAAATACGCCAATCGATAGGATATTACATTACGAACCTGTTGAAATAAATATTTATCCAATTTTTCTGTAATTAAACTATTGAAAATGTACAAATGATAATTTTATCACTGATTTCATGAAATAAGCCTTTTTCCCAAACCCAGTCATCATAAACGAATACCACTTGGTTGCACATCGTTCTGCTTGAACCTGAAAAGATATAAATCAGCGCTGCTCTCATGCCACTGCTCATTAACGCTTCGGACGGCGTGGCCCTATGTCCAGCATCAAGCAGGGCTAAATCAGCGACTTAAGGTGGATCACGGCGTGACCACAATGAGGAAAAGCAATACATGTAAACCCCCTCCCCCTTCACAACAATCTCTCGTCCCCCTTCACAACAAACTCTCGCCCCCCCCCCTTCACAACCATCTCTCACCCCCCCCCCCCCCCCTCAACAACCTCTCCTAACCCCTCCCTCTCATCACGACCTTAACTACCCCCCCCCCACACCAACAACCTCTCCTATCCCTCCCCCTCAGGTTGTTCTCCTACCCTCCCCCCCCCCCACTCAAATACCTCTCCTAACACCCCCTTCCCCTCAACAATAACCTTAAAGCGAGACAGACTTTGACGATCCCTTTTTTCCGGGAAATTAATTTTAAACAAACCACAATCATTAGTAAAACCAAGTTTTACCAAATTTGAACAAAAAATTGCTTTGAAGACATGTTTGATGACATTCAGTTGGTGAATTACACACAACTGACGGTAAAACATATCTGGTGCCTCTATATATGCAATTATATTAACATCCAAAGTCCATCCTATTTTACATATTCTGCACAAAAGAAACTTTCTGCTCCGCCCCATTCATAAAAAAACTGCGGGAAATCCTATCAGGTTCTGAACCTGAGCTGTCATGCTTTTGCTCATTGTCGCTTCGTACGGTGTGGCCCTATGTCCTGCATCAAGCAGGACTAAATCAGCGGCTTAAGGTGGATCACGGCGTGACCACAATGAGGAAAAGCAATAATGTAAACCCTCCCCCTTCACAACAATCTCTCGTCCTCCCCCCTCAACAACCTCTCGCCCCCCCCCCACCTCAACAACCTCTCGCCCCCCCCCCCTCACCATCAAACCTCTCCTACCCTTCTCCCCACCATCAAACCCTTCCTATCCCCCCCCCCTCAAAAACCTCTCCTAAACCAACCCCCCCCCCTCAAATACCTCTCCTAACCCCCCTAATTTTAAGATAAAGTATAATAGTCAAAAATGCATGAAAAACATCAATTTTGTGTGGTTCTACGTCATACTGCGGTCGTGTCTAGGACACAACCCTTTAATTTTTTTAAATTTAAAAAAGAAACTTTTCGCATTATTTGTTTGTATCTGACTAAATGTCCATGGAATGGCCATTTTAAGAACAAGCGAATAATCGAGTGGTGGTGAAAAATTCATGATGAAAACTCATGCAATTTTTATTTTCTTGAGTTTTCCTGGGGTTCAATTTCTCTAGGGGTATCAACGTTGTGGATTAATGTTGAATGGAGTTTTTGCAGTCTCTGCTGTGCTAGAAATAAACTGACATTTCTCTGGACTTTTAATCCTCATAAAAAATTGTTAAAAAATTACAAGCACATAAAAAGCAAACGAAAAAAAAAATAGCAGTTATCGCCAATTTCTTGGCAGTGCTGATTGCACACAGGTCTTGAGCATGACTTCACATCTTCCTGGTCTTCCTATACTTGATGTCTTCACTTTTGCAGATATGACAGATGCCAACTTGTGGCTCCCGTCCGGACGGATCTCGTTAACTGGAGTAGAACCAACAATCAATACGAAACTAACAATTTTAAATTGGCTCACTACTTTACTAGCCTATTGATCCCAAGCAAACGATTAACGTATCCCATTCTAGTCAAAATTCTACTACTACACAATGTGTGTTTTGATTCGCTATGCAAGTTTGACAGATAAAATGAGGGGTTAGTGGATGTTCCTATGTTTCGAGGGGCGAATCGACTAGCTTGGGACCGAAGATAGTATCAGAGCTGAGCCAAAAAGTTAAACACGTTTCTTCGGGACCTACTAGTAATAAAGTTACCTCTATGGTAGAACAACCTGCATACTTCGATAAAAATCATATAAATTTAAGTGCTCTTAGACTGACATATATGAGCGTCAATTTTGACATCGAATTCAGTCGACTTTTCGTCGAGTAACGAACTGTTTAGTCATTAATTATGGTACCCATATTATAGACCTTCTTCCCAAACACTTTGACCGCGCACGGGAGGGATCCCTACGTTGTGTTTATTTGTTTATCTTTCAATTGTTGATCCCGATCGAGACGGATAGTAATGAAAAGCACCGATTGCTTCGCCGTCCTGCCATGGCGGAGCCATACGAGCTAC